ACAATCTGGTCGTGCAATATGCAGCCATCAAGTTTAGCTCAGTTGGTAGAGTCTGGAGACCTAAAGGTCTTGAGTTCAAATCCCAGTACTGTCAACCCCTAAAGATTTTCTCGCGGGACAGATTTTTTAGACCCAGTGCCCAAAATTCGCGGGATTTTGCGGGACATGTACTAAATTCGCGGGATTTCGCGGGACATTTAAGGCATTTGCGTGATTGCGCTAATAGGCCAAATTTTTTTATCAAATTCGCGGGATTTCGCGGGACCATTCGAGGGACAAACACTCTAATTGCGGGACAGTTAACAGGTTTACCACCAAAAACTTCATAGAGGGACAGATGTTTTAGACAACGTGCCCTAAATTTGCGGGATTTCGCGGGACATCCACCTAAATTTGCAGGATGTCCCGGGACATTCAAGGGATTTGCATGATTGGGACTAATGTAAAAGCATGTTAAAGTACTTAAATCAAACTTCCAGATACTGATTAATCAAATATAATGTACCGTTGCATTATAACTTAAATAAACGTCAACACAATTTCACAAAATACGCATAGGAATATTATTAAACTTTATTGTAATTTATCAAACACAAAAACCATGCTTCAGGTGTGAGTACCGTAATCTTACACGAAATTCAAAAATTCGGAACAATACTTTGCACTTCTGGCGTCGTGACCAACTATGAAACGCTTACCCCCATAATGTCATATATTAAAATGTAACTATTCATATACTGTAGGCATGGGCTTTCAATTGAAAGCCCATGATATAGGGGTTCGATTAATCTACATCAAATTATAGGGAATGAGGTTACTTTTCTAGATAGATTTTGTAGAAAAAACTGGGTACCGGGTAATAAATCCTCCATGCTGGGTTCAAACTTGGTACCCGGTCGAAAAAACCGGGTACCCAAAAAACGAAATATACAAATATACAACATAATTAGATCATTAGAAAACGTGTAAGATTTGTTTTGAATTTACAAAAATGTATGTAACTTCCTTCAAAATTGCGCTAGAAGCTTCAAATGAAAAGCATTTTAAGGCTCTTTTCTTCCTTTATCATCATGGTCATATTTCCATTGGTAATGAAGGGGGAGGGGGGGGTGCGATCGCACCCCCTCCTGGCTACGCCAATGACATTGTAAGACGATTTGAAAAACAAGACAAATCAATCTTACTCTATTTTCAATAGTTCGTATGTTGGTACGTGAATTGTTTTGATTATGATTTAAATCTGTAAATAGCTATCGTTGCTTTAGCAGAGAGGTGACGTGTGTTAATTTACATGATTTTGATTATTAATCATAATTTAAGTTATCCCACTTTTCGACAAAATGTCCACTGAATTGTAAATTGTTATGTCTTACAATGTCATGGGCGTAGCCAGGAGAGGGTGCGATGATCGCATCCCCCCCCCCCCATAACCAATGAAAATATGGCCATGACGATAGAGGAAGAAAAGAGCCTTAAACTATGCTTTTTATTTGAAGCTTCTAGCTCAATTTTGAAGGATGTTACATACATTTTTGTGAATTCAAAACAAATCTTACACGTTTTCTCATAATCTAATTATGTTATGTATTCGTATTTTTCGTTTTTTGGGTACCCGATTTTTTGACCGGGTACCAAGTTTGAACCCAGCATGGAGGATTTACAACCCGGTACCCGGTTTTTTCTACAAACCCTTTCTACATATCAGCGTCCATTTATTGTAACTCGCGTTTGCTAACATTTGCTCAGTTCTGAGATGAAGGCCACACGGGTAGTAAAAAGGCCAACGTTGGAACTGTTTGTGACCTACATCCCTATTTTCGTAATTAAAATGAAAGTTGAACCCTTCCTCTTTATTTTGATACCAAACAACAGCATGCTAGGTACTTACAACAAGGTAAACTTTACTCCTCAAAAGTGCAAAAACTTAGCTTCTTATATAAGATAAGATAATCACAATATAGGGGATTGCAACAATTTCGGAAATTCGCGGAGGTTAAAGCCACATTTGCGGGACTTCGCGGGACATTGCGGGACACGCGAATTAGCCTAATTTTGATCAAATTCGCGGGATAATCCCGCCATTCGCGGGACACTTGACAGCTCTGAAATCCCGTCAAAGTTGAATTACTTTTTCAGTACTGTCAACCCCCAAAGATTTTCTCGCGGGACAGATTTTTTAGACCCAGTGCCCAAAATTCGCGGGATTTTGCGGGACATCTACTAAATTCGCGGGATTTCGCGGGACATTTAAGGGATTTGCGTGATTGCGCTTATAGGCCAATTTTTTTTATCAAATTCGCGGGATTTCGCGGGACCATTAGAGGGACAAACACCCTAATTGCGGGACAGTTAACAGGTTTACCAGCAAAAACTTCATAGAGGGACAGATTTTCTAGAAAAAGTGCCCTAAATTTGCGGGATTTTGGGGGACATCCACCTAAATTTGCAGGATGTCCCGGGACATTTAAGGGATTTGCGTGATTTGGACTAATGTAAAAGCGTGTAAAAGTACTTAAATCAAACTTTCAGATACTGATTAATCAAATATAATGCACCGTTACATTGTAACTTAAATAAACGTCAACATAACTTCACAAAATACGCATAGAAATATTATTTCAATTGAAAGCCCATGGTATAGCGTTTCGATTAATCTACATCAAATTATAGGGAATGAGGTTACTTTTCTAGATAGGGTTTGTAGAAAAAAACGGGTACCGGGTAGTAAATCCTCAATGCTGGGTTCAAACTTGGTACCCGGTCGAAAAAACCGGGTACCCAAAAAAACGAAATATACGAATATACAACATAATTAGATCATTAGAAAACGTGTAAGATTTGTTTTGAATTTACAAAAATGTATGTAACTTCCTTCAAAATTGAGATAGAAGCTTCAAATAAAAAGCATTTTAAGCCTCTTTTCTTCCTCTATCATCATGGTCATATTTCCATTGGTAATGAAGGGGGAGGGGGTGCGATCGCACCATCACAGCCTCACCTGGCTACGCCAATGACATTGTAAGACGATTTGAATAACAAGGCAAATCAATTTTACTCTATTTTCAATAGTTCGTATGTTGGTACGTGAATTGTTTTGATTATGATTTAAATCTGTAAATTGCTATCGTTGCTTTAGCAGAGAGGTGACGTGTGTTAATTTACATGATGCAATGTGTAAGATTTTGATTATTAATCATAATTTAAGTTATCCCAACTGTCGACAAAATGTCCACTGAATTGTCTACTAAATTGTTATGTCTTACAATGTCATAGGCGTAGCCAGGAGAGGGTGCGATGGTGCGATCGCACCCCCCCCCCATAACCGATGAAAATATGGTCATGACGATAGAGGAAGAAAAGAGCCTAAAAATATGCTTTTTATTTGAAGCTTCTACCTCAATTTTGAAGGATGTTACACACATTTTTGTAAATTCAAAACAAATCCTACACGTTTTCTGATAATCTAATTATGTTATACTCGTATATTCGTTTTGTTTTGGGTAAGCTTACTCGTTTTTTGACCGGGTACCAAGTTTGAACCCAGCATGGAGGATTTACTACCCGGTACCCGGTTTTTTCTACAAACCCTTTCTAGATATCAGCGTCCATTTATTGTAACTCGCGTTTGCTAACATTTGCTCAGTTCTGAGATGAAGGCCACTCGGATAGTAAAAAGGCCAACGTTGGAACTATTTGACCTACATCCCTATTGTCGTAATTAAAATGAAAGTTGAACCCTTCCTCTTTATTTTGATACCAAACAACAGCATGCTAGGTACTTAAAATTAGGTAAACTTATACTCCTCAAAAGTGCAAAAACTTAGCTTCTTATATAAGATTAGATAATCACAATATAGGGGATTGCAACAATTTCGGAAATTCGCGGAGATCGAAAGCCACATTTGCGGGACTTCGCGGGACATTGCGGGACACGCGAATTAGCCTAATTTTGATCGAATTCGCGGGATAATCCCGCCATTCGCGGGACACTTGACAGCTCTGCTTTTTCATCAGAACATCAGAACTTTGTTTCATATAATCAGTGACACAACAAAGTTCTGACTATAACAATCATGGGAGATACTTACATTTTTACACATTGAATTACCATATACAAATGAACCCACTGAGTTCTTTACCATTTATTGACAGCCCTTGGGGTCATTCGATTGTAATCATGTCATACATGTACATGTATATCCAAAATCAGATGACTTCTTGTGATATCATTTTATCAGCTTATTGATGTCGGAATGATCACCCAAAATGAAATGATATTCTATATTCTATTGCTTATTACAAGGGTTGTCAAAGTAATCTTGGAGTACTTGCTCTTATTTAAGTTTAAATATTCTTTTGACTTCATACATCAACTAACTGATCTTTGAACATTTATTGTCTTATTTGTAACATTTGGAAGAATTACACGTAGACTTTAATACACATAGTGAATGTATGAGTTTCCGGGAAACTAAAATCAGATAGATGGACAAACAAATAGTTGTATGGAAGAAGGAACAGACATGGGGCTTCTCTATATCCCTACTCAAATATTGTTCAGGGGCATAATTAGTCATTATAGGGTCAGGCTAGACTTTGATTTAATGCTCATATATGATCACTGTTCGGACAAATATAACTGAATAGATTTAATAAATCACTCATGGGTTGTCATAAAATGAATATATATATAAAATATGACTGGTCAGAAAAAACTAACTATAGGTCAATTATGCATCCTCTCAGCTTCTGATAAAATATTCACAAAGTTGTTGAATTTTAGTATCCTACAGTTGTATTTCAGTATGAATAGTTACATTCCAGTATCCAAATTGCAAGAGTTGATTACAAGTATCCGATTGCAGTAGTCAAATTCCAGATCCAACAGTTGAACATTATCCAATAGTTGTATTTCCAGCATTCAATGGACATATTTCTCGACTCATGTACTTGAGTCACTTCACATAAGATCAAATAACAAATCCACGTGTTGGTCAGTTTTAGGCTTCTGAAACATTCTCTTTCTTCACTTTATGGTCATTGATATTTCCCATGTTAATGTTATAGGTGGCATTGTCAAATGTGTCGCCATCTATGAAGTCTTCCTTGTAGTATCCACGAATTCTTCTTCGCCTGAAAGTATTCACAAAAATGTCATTGTTCTAAAGCCTGGTTGTATATAAAGATCATATACAGTATATGTTACTTAATACAGTATCATTTGAACAATATGGTACCATTGTTGCTATGGCAACGTATGATGCTGTTTATTAAAAATTAAAATTTGAAAAGTGAATTTGAAAATGATTAGGCATGATTATATACGGGGTGTCCATGAAGTCTCTTTACAATTAAAATACAAAGTGTGTTAAGTGTAAAGACTTTATGAACATCCTGTACATCAAATTCAAAAGCTCTACTTATTGTGATGTCATTTACATAAGTGTCACAATGAATCTTACCTCTTGATATAAAAGACTAGCAGAACAGAAAAGATGACCACAACAACAACAGCAAATATTGGCCCCAATACCAATGCACCTGGAATATGATGATATTGTACCATGTTTATTTCAGGACATTAAACTGGGTGCCCATCCAAAAGTCTCATTATGTAGACTTTGTATTATAACTGTAAAGTTACCTTATGGACACCCTGTATAACATAGCTAGCTTGATTTGGTAATTTTTAGGTTGGACATGAACTGAGTGAGACTTGTTATAATGGAAGAGTTGCAATTTGATTGGTTGAAATAGCTAATTTTGAGAAACTGCCTGAAACTCCAAAACCTCCTTTTCAAACATTTTACCATCAGAAAAAATGAAATAGTGATCTTGCATGGCACATATTTTTGAACAAGTTGAAAATCCATATAAAGTATCTTGTTTGCTCTTTAATTTTGATTTAATTATATAATGTATATATAAGGTTAAGATGAGAAACTTACCTTGTTTGTTGAAGTCAAATCCTTTCTGATTGCTGTTTTTCCCAGAACCAGTAATAGGTGGCTCTGTTGTACTTCCCACTAAAAATAGTATTCAACATACGTATATGCAGTCTTGAAAAGTGAAAAATCGTTTGAAAAATATGAGATAAAACAAATTTCACACATACGAGCTAGGCAAGGTGAGTCCAATTCCAGCCAATCCAAACACAGTATTTCATATAAATGCAGTGAATTAAATAACCAATCACTACATCCAAGGTCATTCCTTATGTGGTTGTCAAGGTGACAACTTGACTCTACAGATTGAAATTCAAGTATTTACTGAGTATTTACCAATATATCAAAGATGATAAAGAACCAATGAATAAATGAGCCTCGCCATAGGAAAACCGGTCTTATCACAAAAATTTAAATTGTGCTTCAGCCAAAAATGTGCCCATTAGATTAAGAGGAAAATGGTCTAAATTCAAATTCGTCTTTTTGGTCTATATCTGCAAGGAAAAATTGTTAAGACATAAGACATGGCTCATTTGAAAGGTCTCTTTGTGCTTTTTATGAAAAACACAAAATCAAAACATTAAAAAAATCTGTGATAAGACCCCTTTTCCCGTGGCCCGGCTCAAATATTGGATTACAGCCTGCATGTTGCAACAATATATCCCAACTAAACCCCAAGATATTGTAAAGTTAGGAGTCCTACCTGGTTTGAATGTCCAGGGGAAAGTTTGCCTTGATGTGCTGGGCCTGGGAGTTGTAAACTTAATAGTATGTATGGTCTCTGTAACTTGTCTTGTTGACTGTGTTGTTTGTCTGGTTGATTGTGTTGTATATCTCGTTGATTGTGTTGTATGTCTTGTTGATTGTGTTGTCTGTTTGGTTGATTGTGTTGTCTGTTTGACTGGTTGTGTTGTTTGGGGGGTTGGTTGTGTTGTCTGTTTAGTTGATTGTGTTGTCTGGATGGTTGATTCTGTTGTCTGTGTACTTGGATGTTTGGTTGAACTTGTTCCTCCCACTAGATTAAAAATAAAAGATTGATGAATATTAGACAAGACATAATGTGCCAACATGGGAATTTTACAGTAACTGTAGTTCATTGTTCTGAATAAAGAATTTTATGACGTTTTTAACTCTCAAAGGTCCAAACTGTTAGAGAACCCAGAAAAAGCTTTTCATTTAAGTATTTAGGATTTGAAATGAAAATAGAATGGTTTATACTTTTTAATCAAACACACAATGTTAAGTCTATGAATGATGCAACACACTGTCAGTGAAAATCAAATGTTACATTTCAGTTTCTTGCAGATGTATCTTCTCCTGTCATCGCATTGCTGATCATTCCAAAAGCCATCAGGTGTGAACTCCCCACAATGTTCATCCCCTCTACTCCCCCCATCTGGTTGTCCCTTCTTCCATGCAACCCGCCTGTATGTATAACATTAGCTCACATGAATATCATAAATATAAAATTCCAGTAGCCATAGTGAATTAAAGTGGGGTTGACTGTGAAATGGCTGCCATTTTAGTGCCGATTTTACAGTAATTTAGGTGCAATATGTAAAACTGTAATAGAAATATGTTTTAAATGTAAAGCAATTATATAGGACATTAATACTGTTAAAGAAGCACATGGCAGCCATCTTGAAAAATGTTTTTAATGTATTTTACTATAACTCTAAAAATAGTGGAGCGATTTTGTTCATATTTGGTATGTGAATACTATAAACATGGTACACTGTCTAGTGTCTAATGACACTTTTGGTAGAAGGCCGCCATTTTAATGTATTTTACTATAACTCAAAAAGAAGTAGAGCGATTTTGTTCATATTTGGTATGTGAATACTATAAGCATGGCACACTCTCTAATGACACTTTTAGTAGAAGGAGGCCATTTTTCAAAATGGCCACCATTTTAATGTAGTTTACTATAACTCGAAAAGTAGTACAGCGATCAGGCACGTAGCCAGAATTTTCCGAGGGGGTTCACTTTTCCCAAAAATTCTAGGGGGGTTCACTTTGGCAAATTTGGCCAAAAATCACCCCAAAATTAGTCAGAATGGTGAAAAACTGCATGGTTTGCCCGAACCCCACCCCCCTGGCTACTGGCCTGGCGATTTTGTTCATATTTAGAATGTGAATACTATAAGCATGGCACACTGTCTAATGACATTTTTGGTAGGAGGGGGCCATTTTGAAAAATGGCTGCCATTTTTTCTATTATACTTTCTTTGTAAATATGCCAGCCATGGCTGTTCGATGGTATTTGCTACGCTTTGGTGTTGCTGTTGTCTAGTTAAACATATATTACCAATGCGCTATGATTTTGATGTACAATAAAACCTGTATATCCAAATGCCTGCCATTCCGAATACTTTTGGCTGGTCCCAGTTGCATTCAGATTTCAGATTTTGCAATACCATCTACTATCTTGTAAACTTCATGTACCTCCATGTTGGTTAAGTTGACTTAAAAAGCAACGAAAACTAGAATATTTCTATAATATCATATACATGGATTTATTCAGATCATATCAAGTACAAAAAATAAATATCAATAAATATAAGGCTGGTATTCAATGGTTGTGGTCCTCAATATACAGGAGTTTTACTGTGGAGGTACATCAGCATAGAGACAATCCCTTTCACTGTAGACTTTCTCTGGCTTGTTTTCAATATCTGTGAATTTCTCGCCTTCCAAGTAGCTCAAGACCTCTTTGTCATACTTCTCTGCAAAATCCTGTGGGTCTCTGGCAAGAACGAATAGAGTGAAGCGAATTGGGTCTGACACTATGGAGTATTGGTATTGGCCATTCACGACTGGTCCAAGCTTGAGGATCCAATCTGGAATAAAATGTGACTTTATGTTAATTTATTTTGTGGTACTAATCTGATCTGATATAATCAGAAAACAATACAGATGATAAAAACTTTACAAAAAAGTGATTTATCCTTGAAATGTATATCTGTGTAGTGATATGATAATGTAAATCCTCTGAAATGCAGGAAGAAGGTAATACATTTGGTTTAGTCTGAGGGGCAACATTTAAAACTAAACATAACACCTCTAAAGTCCACAGTGTAATAGATGCTATATAGATGCGAATACTGTAAGTATTTTTTCCATTCATGAACTTTTGTCTGTCCATATTGAGAGTCAACATATGAGTGAGAAAAAATCAGTAGGCTAATGATTGAGATATTTTCAGTGACTTAGTCTACTTACAAGGTGCTGGTACTGGGACTCCAGAAAGTTCTACAAGAAGTTGTCCCTCAGTCTCGGTCTTGTATCCGAATCCTGTGATCTGATCCAAAGGGCCACTGGGTGTTTTGATACGGTTTGAGTTTAGTACTGAGATGGTAGTTGCGTTGATAGCTCTGTAGTCAGCTGTGATACAGACAGCATTCCTCAGGAAAGAGTTCCAGAGATTGTTGTTAGAGTAGACCTGATACCATCTGCCGAGATATTTTGGGACTTCAACACGTTCAACTGTTGCTGGGGGTTTCCCAAAGATATCTTCAAGGAGAAAGCCTAAGCAGATGCTTGGGAGCACCACCAGGAGGGTTGCAGTCATTAGTTTTGTTGTCATCTTGCTGATCTTCACGTTGGTTGAGATTGTCCGTGTTATTGTGTGTTGTATATGTTGGTTGAGCTTGGAGCAACTTGTAAAGATGTGTCAGAAATTTGGGGTTTATATACAATTTCAAACCCATGAATAAAAGTCACAGTGGCTATTTGTTTAACTGCAAATTATAATTAAAATGGAACATTAAGTGAGGAATGAAATAAAGAGGGACAGAGATTGGTACTCCTTATTCTTGATTACGCCAAAATACCCAAAATAAGGTTCATGACTCAAATTTTGGAGAGGAATAACTATGATCAGGATTCCAATTTTACCCAGAGGAGTCTTGGGTTTCATAATCAATGATTGTTTTGTTACTATTGTATGGAAGGGGGCATTCATGAGAAATGTCATTTGAATCATGTCTGTTTCAAGTGATTTCTCTTTAAAGTCTGAATGAATTGTCTGATTATCTTTCATTTCTATTCAAATAAGAGTGTTGGTTACATTTTTATTCACCTTTTCCATTGCTTGTTTATTCTTTTAGACTATGTTTTTCATTTTTAACATGATCAATTGTGACATTTTTCTTAAAGGTTCTAGGTTTATCTTATCAAGATAACAAAATCCACATCAGTTAACACAGCAAGACCCTTCCCTATGAGCACCTTTGTCTCACGTTTTATGGAAAGCTAATGCTATATTCTGCATTTGTACAAAAGTGTGCACACTAAACATGTGTGACTGTATAGTTACAATTAAGACCTGAAGCATACACTAACATGTGAGAGCAGCTATCTGTATGATGATTACTGAATACCATTATTTTCAAGCTATGTGATAAGCAAAAACACATGTTTCCTCATGTGGTATTCTATAGTAACAATTGGAAATTACATGGCTATTATATTAGTGGGGCTAACCGATGTCAGGGTTTCGCATGTGGCGTCTGACAATTGCATCAATTTTGTACAACACAACATTTTTGTCATGATTTGATTTAAAACTGGTGCAGTGAACACATATATTAATTCAGATTTCAAAAAACTTCAGATTCATTCATGCCACTTTTTAGGAATTTCAAATCTTCAATTCTAATTGAGATCTAAATTCTTCTTATCAAATCCTATTTGAGTCTTAAAATATGTGAAATAAAATGTGTTGTACTGCACCTAAATGTCAGAGGTCAAATTTCAGTTTTTGAGAATATTTAGTTGAATTTTAGATTTTTATCAAGTGATCCCCCCCCCCCACTTTAACACAGGCTGGAGAAATATATTAATCATTGTAGGCAGCAGAGGGTTAAAAAGGCTAAAGGAGGGGGGAAAGTATCGCAACAGATTTCATACAGTCATATGTTACTTTTGGCTATTTTCGGAGGATTTGATCAGATGCATATGTTAGGCCAATGTATTTTCTCCAGGAAAAGCACTCATAGAGATGATAAAATAATTTTGACTTTGAGACAGGGAAGAAGCAAACAACCCACCCACATGTTTTTTCTGAAATGTTGTCCTGATTTTTAACCCCTTCCACCCCTGCTTTTTCAATTTTTGTTGCATCAATATGTTGCGTTTTGACATTCAGTTGACCCCTTTAAGGGAATAAGTGACTCCTCCAGGGGTTTTAAAGATATCCATTATGGGTGACCCAAATTAGCTGAAACCAATGGATCGCATGAGTTTTCCGTATGAGAAAATAACATTGGCAATATTGTTTTCCACTTTATCTAAGAGGAATCAGTTATTCCTTTTAAGGGGTTAACTTTGTCTTAAAGTGCAACATATTGATGTAACAAAAAATAAAAACGCAGGTGTGAAAGGGGTTGAAAATCAGGACAACATTTCAGAAAAACATGTGGGTGGGTTGTTTGCATCTTCCATGGCTAAAAGTTGAAATTATTATCCAATCAAACAAAGTTCGGAGGGATATAGGGATTAGGGAAGGCCTCCGTCCGTCTGCCTGTCTGTCCGTCCATACGTACGTACGTCCGTCTGGGCACCGATTTTGTTCATATTTTGTACACATATACCTTATGGGGGCAGAAGTTCTGCTCGAAAGCTGATTTTCAAAATGGCCGCTCATTTTAAAATGGCAGCCATTTTAGTGCCGATTTTACGGTAATTTAGGTGCAATATGTAAAATTGTAATAGCAATATGTTTAAAATGTAAAAAAATTATATAGGACATTAATAAAGCTAGAAATGTAGATATTAAAGAAGCACATGGCAGCCATCTTGAAAAATTGCGGCCTTGACTCGTTATTTTACGATTCTTGCTGTAACTTGAAAAGTAGAGGAGCGATTTTGTTCATATTTGGTATGTGAATACTATAAGCATGGCACACTGTCTAATGACACTTTTGGTAGAAGGTGACAATTTTGAAAAATGGCCGCCATTTTGAAAAATGGCCGCCATTTTAACATATTTTACTATAACTCGAAAAGTAGTGGAGCGATTTTGTTCATAAGTATTTGGTATGTGAATACTATTAGCATGGCACACTGTCTAATGACACTTTTGGTAGAAAGCCGCCATTTTGAAAAATGTCTGCCATTTTAGCATATTTTATTATAACTCGAAAAAAAGTGGAGCGATTTTGTTCATATTTGGTATGTGAATACTATAAGCATGGCACACTGTCTAATGACACTTTTGGTAGGAGGTGGCAATTTTGAAAAATGGCTGCCATTTTGCCATATACTTTGTAAATATGCCAGCCATGGCTGTTCGATGGGATTTACTAAGCTTTGGCATTTCTGTTGTCTAGTTATTACAATATTGCTACAAATACTTTGGTAATTCTGTGAGGATTTAGAAAGAGGATTCAAATGAACTTGCAAGATGGATTCTACTCACGCAACTTCTGGGTCCCAGGTGGTGCCATCTATCCAGTAATAGTTCTTGTCCCCTCGGGGGTTATCTGTCATGCCCAGCCAGTAGTATGTCTCGCTTACCAGGACACCCATCTTCAACACTGCCTGCAAAGACAATTGACAAATCATAAAGACAATTTCATTTCATTTGCACGATATGACACTACATTGAATTAGATCGACCAAGTGCTTTGCAGTACAGTATAATACATTTTGACTGACTTTTATTTGATAAGGAAATATTAACAATATTAAATTAAAATCTCAGACAAAATAATCCTGCTTGAATTTTTAAATGAATCCAGGAATCAAGTAATTTCTCTTAATTTTAACTTTTTCAATACTCTGATACTTTTGATATTATTAAGGCAAATGCACTGTTTTTCCTTTCCAACTGCATTTATCTGACCACTGATATACATAAAATACACTAATGGTGCCTAGATGTGTACTTATACAGTGGAAGTACATGTAAAGCCTCTCCCCCTGATGCAGTAAAGAATACCATAACATAACAGTAACTTTTGACCTACCAGTTCCTCCATAGACTCTACACTGGCCAAGGTGGCTCCTACACTGGAGCACATGTCTCTTGCTTCTTGCCACTCTTTTATGTCTGTACTGTACAAATAGCAGTAGGGCTCTCCAATTGTCCACCCATATGGGCAAACACCCTCTGGAATACAATGTAATAATACAGTAAAACCTGTATATCTGAACACTTCTATAATCCAAACAAATCTCAATGTGGTGAACAATCATTCCCAATTTTCTCTCATAGAACCAACTTTGAATGTGAACAACTGCCAATCATAACACTTTTTGACTGGTCCCTGTGATATTAGGATTGCACAGATTTAAAGCAATACTTTAAGCTAAACCTGCTTCCTATGATTTACAAACATAGTCCACCATGATTCTTTCATGGAATAAAACCTCCACACACCTGTAGTGGATCCTGTAAATGGGAGAGTGGGTGTAGTAGTCACAGGACGCCATCTTAGTTTACACATGAATGACATCTCATCATCCTTATCACATTCCTCATCTCCCCATGTACCATCCTCATAAAAATGGCCGCAATGTTGATTGCCACCAGAGGGCTCACCTATACGGAAGTTGCTCCTGGATGAAAAGTAAATGAAAAATTAAATCATTAAAACATGTATCAGTTCATAGAATCAGAGATCAACATTTATGTGTTTAGCTTATATTCTCTCCCATCTCTTTCAAAATGTATGAAATATTAAAAAGATAAAACATTATCTATTTTTCTCATCTATTTTGACAGAATAGTAATGCTGGAAAACCTACCTAATCTGAACATTTCAAGTTACATTCCAATACAAGGCAATAAATTGGAGAATACTAAACTGAGATGTGAAAAAGTGTTCATATTGAGAGTGTGGGTGTTCAGAAAAACAGAGGTGTTTGGATATACAAGTTTTACTGTAGCTGTTGTATTTATCTAAGTCTAAAGAAAATGTGGGAAACAAAACGCTTAGATCAACAATAAATAGAAAATGTAATGTAATAAACAAGGAGTAAATAGTATTCCAGTTGTGCTACAAAGATGGACTCACTCCAATGCTGGGTTCCATGAGGAACCATCCGACCAGTGCCAAGGAGAAGGTACATCAGTCATTCCTATCCAGTACTTCTTGTTCAGTCTCTTTACTTCAGTTTTAAGGAAATCCTATATGAGAAAATAGGCTATAAATATCAGGAATTTGTGTGACTTGTGACATTTAATTCAACACATAATGACAATCTTTTTTTTTGAAAGAAAGAACAGTATATTTAAATATAATTCCCCACTCCTATATAGCCACCCAGCCTCTCTCTAAAGAATATCTGTCATATTAGACTGTATATTAGACAATCATAGATTTTAATTCAATATAAAGATGGCAGCATTGGTAGAAGATATGTAATACGGATTGACTATACTACCATGGGCATAGTGCCCGGTACGCACAGTACGCCTGTGCATACAAATTGTTTCCAGATTGATGATTCCGTATCTTTATCGATTTCGTTTAGTCAGGGTTGATACAAAACGCTCATATTGCATTTATTTCAAAATTATTTCTATCTCCATTTTTGCCAATGTGAAAAATGCAGCTCACCAGTTCATCCTGTGTGACTATACTAGCAAGTTTGGCTCTGGGGTCTCTCTCGGGACACTCAAGGGTATCACTGTCTCTCCAGTCATCCTTCTCAATACCAAAAAAGTAGCAGTTTTCCCTGTACTCTAACCATCTTGGTGGGCAGTTCACTAGAACAGTTGAAATAGCATATTGTTACGGCCCTGGATAAGAAGTTGCTACTACAACTGAGCTGTGGTGACTTAGCCCTCAGGTTGTTACAATTTTAAGAGCATGTAACAATATAAGGGGTTAAGTCAATATAGCAACTTTTTGTGGATGTATTTAATATTCGAACATGACTGTATTCACGCTTTCTATAAACTTTTAACAAAGTCAATGCTTCAGCTGGGTTATATTCGAGATCAATAACCCAGTTAATACTAGTAATGTGTGACGTCATAACGGTGGGTCGTAGTAATGGCGGACCATGATGAATATTCGAAACACTTGGTGAGTTTTCATGTTCGAATCGTAATATAGACCTCAGAGCAGGGTTACTAGTTTCGAATAACACCCCGCTGGTCTCGGCACAAAAGCTTTCGAACCCCTCACTCCCTTCAGTCATTCGGGGTACAGAAAACGTTTGTGCCAAGACCAGCGGGGTGTTATTCGAAACTAGAAACCCTGCTCTTTGGTCTATATTTCTTAATTAATGTCTCAACTGTAAAATGTGATCCTACAATACTTGAATAAAAATCAAAATCTTCAGCTTTCAGCGTCATTTGTCAGACAAACCACCCTATGTAGACTGAATATGCAGCAAATGCTCGATATGGATATATATATATTCAAATTGAAAAATGACCATTGGTTCCGCATGCATGCTCATTTATCCCACCAATTAAGTGTTTCCTGCATGGTCAATCTGCATAGGGTGCAAACAGTATGTTTCCTGTAAATATTTTCGAAAAAATCCTACACCAAGTTGAGTAAGCTTTATTCAGTTATTGGGCTTTAAAATAAATGTTCTTTATTGGGCTTTAAAATAAAGTATTGTAAAAACAAACAGCATTCTTAACATAATCTCCGCAAAAAAATTACTAAGGTATGTTTATTTACACAGAAATCGAAATAAACTGTATTCTTACACAATCTCCACAAACTTTAATTACTAGGGTTAGGGTACAGCTGTTAATCACTTACGATTGTTTCTCTGTGTGGGATATTTACAGAGAAACCTCCTGTCATCATTGTCACAGTCGTCATCTCCCCATTTCCCATCAGAGTAGAAGAACCCACACTGCTCCCCATTACCATCTGGCTGCCCAGGCCTCCAACTATCTTGCCTTTAAATATAAAAGGGCATAAACAGAGCACAATTACGTAGCCTTTGCTTGATACGGAGTCCATGATCTCCACTACATTTAGGATACTCACTCAAGTGCATCTAACATATAAAAATTCACTCCACTACATTTAGGATACTCACTCAAATGCATCTAAGATACTCTCTCGAGTACATTCAAAACACTCAACTCTGTTTAAGATACTCACTCAACTACAGTTAAGATACTCACATGGCTATGTTCAAGATACCCACTCTGGTATGTTTAGGGTACTCACTCAACTGCATTAAAGATATTCACCTGACTGTTCTCAACAGGATTGTAGATGCTCATTCAACTGCATTCAATATACTCATTCAATAACATTAAAGATACTCACTCAACTGCAGTATCCCATACAGTGCCATCTATCCAAGTGAATACTTTATTATTGCCTTTCATTCCAATCCAGTATTCCTTACCACGAACTTCTACTTCAGACTTCAGGAAAATCTGAAATAAAAAAGTCCCATCATTTTGTAAATAAGATTCCCCAATAAATTTAATTTCAATTAATCCTGTTTAGGCTACATGTATGCTTGAAGTGCAGCTTTGGTGTGCAGTGTCTATTCCATGTGCAGTTATTCTATTCATATTCATGTAATTCAATATAAAAAGGGTGAGCCAAAATACAGAGCTTTAATGAGAAGTACATTTTATTATTTTGACCTACCCATTTCTGTGTCCTTGAGCTGAGGCAACTGTACAATTTAAGTTAAATATATTTTTTGCATGTACAGCACTGTATTTAGTATGTAAATGGTATGTTAAATGGTTTAAATGGAACATAAGTCCTACTGTCTTGTATTCTATTGCTTGTATGATATACCCAGTACACAAAACTATTTTACTAATTTAACAAAATAAGCTTAAATATACCAATGTGCTCTCATCTTCAATACTGGCTAGTCTGGCACGTGGATGTCTCTCTGGGCATTCATCTTCATCAGCATCTTTGAAATCATCTTCCTCATCACTGAACAGATAGCAATTTCCCTGGTACTCCATCCAACCAGCCTCACATGCTGTTGTTACAAAGAAAAATACAACGTAACATGATCATTACAGTAAATTATGTTTAATTTGCTTAAATGTCAAGTTCTAGCAATCTGGGCAAATTGATTGAAAAAAGCCAGAAACAAGTCATTATCAGGGATTCGACCATTACTGTAATCACGCCTTCTATAAACTGTAAACAAAGTCAACATTTCACCCAGGGCATATTCGCGATCAATATCCCTGGTAATACGTGTAATGTGTGACGTCATACCGTTGGGTCGTAGTAATTGTGGACCATGATGAATATTCGAAACATTTTGGTGAGTTTTCATGTTCAAATCGTAATAATATAGACCTCAGAGCAGTGGTAATTTCGTAAAATACACCCCTTAGGGCTAGTCACAAAAGCTTTCCAACCTCTCCCTCCCTTTGGTCGTTAGGGTTACAGATAACGTTTGTGTCTAGCCCTGCGGGGTGTATTCGACGATATAACCCCTGCTCTTCGGTCTATATTTCTGAATTCAAGTTGATTTGAGTGCTTGAAACAGCAAAACAAAAATTGCTATTATGGACCTTTGTTCTCACAGGTGATATCATTGAAAAAAATGCAACACCAACAGTAAAAAGGCATGCACAGATATGTTACCTTGGTTCACATCAAATTTACAGAGGAAGTTCCTTTTATCATTTTTACACTCATCATCACTCCAGGTTCCATCTGAGTTGAAGTGTCCGCATTGTTCACCTTTCCCATCTGGTTCCCCTGGTTTCCATGACAAATATCTGTAGGAAACATTAACTTTTAATTAGCATGGGCGTAGCGCCTGTTACGCACAGAACGCCTGTGCTTACCAATTGTTTCAAGATTTTATCAAAAACTAGGCCTATAAAAGTGTATATTTATGATTGTTAATATTGTGTAAATAGGCAATTCTTCAGATAGCCAGATAATTTCTATATTTCGTAATCTTCAATTAATACAGTTTGTCCAAGCATATCAATCGATATCGTTATCTTTTTCTGGTCCTTTAAAATCAATGTTACAAGATAGATCCAACGCACTGTGCCTACTTCATGCCCACAGGGACCATTTTGTAATCAACAGAGAAAGTGTCTTAGATATATGGGCGAGAAAGAAGCCAAGGAAGCTTGCTTTAGCCTTGAACTGAGCTTTTGCCAGTTTATCATGGACGTTACATTTGACCTGAGACCCTCAGTGAAGACTGCAAATGAATTGGAAAAAATAAAATTTGTTAAAATGCATCAATGCACATTTTCTTGTAATTCAGTATTTTTAACGATTTTGTTTTGTCAGAATAGAATTATCTAAAGTTAAAAAAACACTCAGATTGCATCAAATAACATCTTTGAGAAACAAATTTCCGGGGGAGCATGCCCCCGGACCCCCCCCCCCCCCCCCCCCCCCCCCGAGATGCGCGGCTGAAGAGTCAGGTATCAGTGAGTGCGTACCAACTCAAAAAATAGCCCTACGCCCATGATTAGGCTTTTCATTCCGGTTCTCCCCTTATCTTATTCCTAAACCACAAATGCATTTTCTCAGAGAGACAAACTAGTCTAAACTGATGGGCTGAATCACAAGTGACTAATAACTATATACTCCTCTTCCACCATATACTGTAGACTATTGTGCAAACCTTATTTTCTTGAAATATCAAAGTGAGAGTAAAAATGCAAATAGCTGGCACCACAGTTCCAAATTGAATTCTATGAGTCCTGTCTTTTACTACTCTCACCTTTTTCAAAGGTCAGTGAATTTTTCAAGCTTTGATATTTCAAAAAAGAAGCTTTGCATAAAAAATATCTATGGAGGTTGCAAGTAACAACCCATTATGAATTAAATTTTATTGGGGTAATTTTACTAATTTTTGAGTAAAATTACAGAAGTCACTTAAACAAAAGTCACTTACGCCATGGTATCATCCCATGGTGTCCCATCAACCCATCTATATTTCCTGTTGACACCCTTCATTCCGAGCCAGAATTCTTGTTTTAGCCGTCTTACCTCACTTCCCAAAAACTCCTACATTAAATCATATACATTAATAAATATCTATGCAAATCAACATTATGTCAATTCAATTTTGTATCACATGGAGAGGAATCCTGTACCACACCCAGTATGAAGAAAAAATAACTGAAGGTTGATATGAATATTCACAACTGTGCATTTCATGAGGATTTTTATCATGAACACCTAATACTTACAAACTTTGGCAGTCAAAAGAAATGCTTTGGTTAACAGTCACAGCTAACTAACAATGGAGTTAATGAGAACTAATTAAATAGGTATAGTCTAGTAGAGTGAAAAGTGTTGGACCTTATCTGTATAAGTGAAAAAAACATGGAAATAAGTGAGTCGTTCACCATGTCTCACATTAAGGAATCAGACAATGAATTATAACTAACCACATACCAATTCCCCCATAGTTGCAATACTGGCCAAATCAGATCTTGGATCCCTTTCAGGACATTCATCTTCCCTTGCATCCTCAAAGTCATCTCTCTCCTCACTGAAGAAGTAGCAAAAAGTATGATACTGTTTCCAGCCCTGGGGACACTTTGGTATTGGAGCAGTTGGTGTTGGAGGGGAAGATGTAACAGCTGGTGTGGTTGTTGATGATTCAGGAGTTGTAGTAGGTCTTGTAGGTCTTGTATATCCAACTAAAATGTTGAGATGATATTGAACATTATTTGAGTTGTAGATGAAATATTAATGTGTTGGCTTTTATACTGTAGAAGCAGTATTACCATATATTATCTCACTTTTGAAATGTTTACATACAGTATGTATTGCCTCATCATTGACATGTGTATTGCCTTATCTTAAAATAAATTGTTTACATCTATATTGCCTCGCCTTTTACCTTTGAGCTGCTAACATGTGTATTGCCTCATCTTAAAACAAACCGTTTACATCTATATTGCCTCGCCTTTGAGCTGTTTGCAAAATCTTGCCTCATTTTACTTATAACAGGTTCCAGTGAAGTTTGACATTTTTCCAGTTTGACAAAAGTATTAAACAAAACTGTTTTATAGGTGTTTTTACTCATGACATATTTATTCATTGCATCTTCTTACATTAATTCAGGCACATGTATTTCAGAGGGAAACAAGTTGTCTGAATTCAGACAGAAACATTAATTAGCTAAACATATAGTGTATCTTATACTTGAATATTCTGTGTCTGAATTCAGGCAGCGGCTTTCTAATCTATAAGAAACCTAAATTTTCACTGTCTGAATTCAGACACAACTTGATAATAGTAAGATGAATTTGTTTATCTCTTGTGTCTGAATTCAGACACAGGCTTTTCCATATTAGAAAACAGAAGCTGATTTCAACTGTCTGAATTCAGACACAGTTTGATAATAGTAAGATGAATTTGTTTATCTTATGTGTTGTGTCTGAATTCAGACAGTGGAAATCAGTATCAATTTTCTCAGATTGAAATCTTGTCTGAATTCAGACACATTAACAAATTCATCTCACTATAATGAGACTGTGTCTGAATTCAGACATAGGCTTTTCCATGTTAGAAAACTGATTCAACTGTCTGAATTCAGACATGGACTGATCATAGTGCGGTGAACCCTTATGCAATGTTGCATATGACCCCATTATCCATACTTTTCTGACAGAAATGGACGTAATATACTCTAATTCACATCAAAGTAATTAGAAAATAACAATTTCTTTTTATATATGGTTCTCAGTGACAGTTCTCATGGTTTAATCTACTGTACATCATTACAAAATGTGTATGTTCAACCTAAGTTCATCAAATTGTATGTCTGACTACTTTAATAATATATTTCAGCACATATTTTTGAGTCCACTCAGTACATACAGAAAAAGTTGTTAAGTTATTCCATTCCATTTCATTTGATTTTTCATGTATTTGATCCTTTTATCTTAGAGATGTTAACGTACATTCTGCATCACATGATTGAAGCTGATTTAAAATTGATGAACTATTTACAATCAAATTCTTTTGTTAATAACTATTATGATACTAGTATAGTAACTATATAGTAAATATAAAAGGTATAATATACAATGTACAACCCAAGGGAAAAGTGAACCATGTCACTTTCACTTCATTTGATAGATATTTGACAATTTGTAGCTGTCAAAATACTAGATTAATATTATTTATCTGTGTGTCTCGAATTGTGGCGGGGGTGTCAATGTTTTTTTAATTTTGTTGTAAGTTGATCTTATTTCTGATTTGTTGTGGGATTCAATTAATTGGACTGTGTTAAAGCGAATACTTAACTTCAATTTTAAGTGAGACCCTATCTGTTGCAAGACTTACGCCTGTCGTAACCGTCACCATGTTATTCAGTGTTTTTAAGTAGCGCAAGGATCCTGCCATGACCATGGTAGTGTTATCGTGAAAGCCTGTTATAACCGTGACAATGCTGTATTATGTTGCAATGCCTGCCATGACCGTGGTAGTGTAATCGTGTAAGCCTGGCGCGACCGTGGCCTCTTTATATGACATTTATGACTTATTTCATGTTTCGCCCGTTGCTGTTTTTTTTATGGATTAACCTTATTGATTGATCATTTCAGAAAGTATGTGCTTTTGAATCGAATCTTCTTGAATGAGAGTAGAGATATAGTTTGTTCGCAAATTATTTATGAGTTAAAAATGAGTGTTTCGTGTGAAATTAATATACATTTTTATTTATTGTCATTACAGTGTTCTCTTGCTACTTTAATACAACTACGGTCATTAGAGGCCTTGCAAGTATTGTCACGGTCATATCAGGCTTTAACCTTTCCACGGTCATGACAGGCTTTAACATTGCCACAGTCATGACAGACTTTGTGAGCATTGTGACGGTCATACCAGGCTTTAACATTACCACGGTCATGACAGGCCTTGCGAGCATTGTGATGGTTATATCAGGCTTTAACATTATCACGGTCGTGACAGGCCTTGTCACCATTATCACGGTCATATCAAGCTTTAACATTACCACGGTCATGACAGGCCTTGCAATATAATACAGCGTTGTCACGGTTATACCAGGCTTACACGATAACACTACCACGGTCATGACAGGATTCTTGCGCCACTTAAAAACACTGAATAACATGGTGACGGTTACGCCAGGCGTAAGTCTTGCAATAGATAGCATGTGTTTTAAGTTCCCTGTCAATAGTCATGGTTCAGTAGATGCCATTGGATATAAAGTTTGCCGTGTTCAATTGATATCCCGTTAAAAGTAAATTTAATGTCCAATTTTCACAACCAAACCAATCTTCACTGCTTCACCAGGACTCATTCTATATCCTACTATGTATTCCACCTCAAATCTTCTGTCTTATTTGGATGGCTCTCCGGTCCCCCCTGATTTAATGGGCATTTGCCAGTTACAACCTGAAATAGTATAGATTATACAGTTTTATCTATGTTATCATGAAGACTCAACTTGACGGATGGACAGACAAAAGCAGACAGACACTCCTAACAATAAAGAAAAATAACAAAATAAGCGGGAAAATACCACACTTCAAATTTCATATGGAGTGTAATGGAATATAATAATTTGAGTGGAATATACTTTATTGACCATTATTGTGTTTTGATTCAATGAAGCTCATACCTTTTTCTGCAGACCTCGACTTTGTTCGCTCAATAATGCTGTTAAGATTAATCACTTTCTTTTTTGACTCATGTGTATGTCCTTCTCATATAGCCATGAGAGTTTGACCGGATTTTCTGAAATATTAATCATCAGTCTATCAATGTCAAGTAAGAATAAGTTAATTAATTAAGTAGAATTTAAAACAAATAAAAAAAAATTTAAAATAAAATATACATTTTGATGATGGTGTTACATACTTGCAATGCAAACATAGATTCCTTCCAATATATGCAAACTCTCTTTGTTATGTTCACTGACTTTTGTCACTTTGTATAGCTCGGCAAGTCGATTTTCAAATGATATTGGCCCTGTTTCAAATGTTGGTACCTTAGTTGCCATCTCATATTTTCCAAGTTAGTTTTGCATTGTGTTTTCTACAACAAGGAAATGCATCCAGGAGTGTTGTCTTCATAAGATCTACATCTAAAGCCTTCTCTTTTCTAGTATTAGCGGTCCTGCAAAATAAACAGTGCTAACATATTATTTGACCTCACAGACTTGACGTTTTTGTCTAATACAAGATTAAAAAACCATAAGAGTCATTATAATATTTTGAATTCTCATATTAAGCTGTCACCCAAGGAGGATTGGAAGCCAGGGTTCCAACTCAATATTCTTTAATCTCCAATCGATGCGGTAGTTTCCGATCCTGCCTGTATATTTCTACGGCTGCCAGGAGAATGGCTGCCAGGAGAATGGCTGATATTCTTGATTGAATTTTGTATTCATAACATTGCTATGTGATACCCATATATGAAACAGAATATTGATTGGCGTCACTGGGAGGAAATCCTCCTTGGCTGTCACATTAGTTATTTATGAAGAAATGTATATTATTTAGGGTCTGCCTAAAAAAACAGATGACTGGGTAGCTGGTGACTCAGGGTACCTAATGTGTCTAGCAGGGTTACCAACTTTCAAAGTTGGACATTTTCCCCTAATATAGTAGCAAATTGACATGATAGCCCCAGCCTCCTAAGTGTAAACTATACTGTTCTATATTTAAACATTATCTTTTTATCAAAAACCTACCAGAGACCAAGCACTTTTTGAATAATCGACTATTTTTTCAATATCAGAATACCTGGAAGGCATAAAATCAAATCCTAGCCCTGCTAAGAATGTTACCAAGTCACCTGGCAACCCGGTTATCCAGTCACCCCAATTTTACACAAAACCTTTAATTCTCCTCTCAAGCTTAACTCTCTTCTAAATTATTTTTACATCTTTCCATCCTACTCTGGACTTAAAATTATGATAAACTGATAAATTGACTTACCAAATTCACAATTCCCTGTTGATGTATCTGCCATACTGTACATAAGCATGTTCCAATAATCCAGTGTTTAACTGTTTAATTCAGATTTCTTTCTTCAAAATGTTAATAATTTCTAATATTGTCTGTTAAACCTGTTTCCGCCAAAAATTTGAATGGGTGTAACTCAAATCCCTTCTTTCATTGGATAGTGGAAAGTTTGGGTGAGTCTAATATTTCAAAAAGGGTACACAGTGATTCAATGGACTGATCTGAAAGCTTATTCCCTAAGTGCTACTAACTGTATCTGTATGCAATATACACCACAAAAGTAACATTCACATTTTCAAACAGAATAATTTCCATCGGACAATTGATTATACAGTATACAAAAGGAAAATAACAAAAAAAAGCATGACAGTTGGAGAAATCCTAGGTGCTGGAAATTTGAAGAAGATTCTAGGATTTATTTCCAATATGTTGATGATAGCAGGGGTAAGTTATTTTTATTAAGATAGTTTTAAATACCTTTTCAAAAATTACATTTAATTTAAGAAAATCCAACTAATCTTAAATATAAAAAGAGATATTGAAGATTAGAATTAATGCGGATTATGTGAGCTTCCCCCTTAAACCAACTAGAACTTTTAAACCAAGAATGAATCACAGCCCCTTCAATGAATGATATTGGTTTATTTAAAACTGATGAATTTGAAAATTTTAGATGAATAAATCACTGGCCCTTCAGA